ACAGCACCGTTGGATACATGACCACCACAGTAATATTCCAGCAATCTGAATGTAGACTTCTGCACATTCAAGCTGCTCCTGACTGTACAAACACAATAAATGTTAATGGTAAAGTACATTTTAAATGTATTGTTAACCTAGATATTATGTCTGTTTTGTGAGTTCGAAAACACAACTAAAACAGGCCAAAACTGATAGATACCTGGTAGCTAATAAGCTTTGACACCTATTTCACATCCTCAACTCTTACATAAACAACACAAATGCGCTCATTGGGTAAATGAATTCCCCCTCGGAGAAAACCACCACCCCACTTGCATTATGCAGCCTAAGCTTAATGTGTCAACTTTTGACAGCATCAACTATTTTTTATTACATCGGTTAAGGACGACACACACAAATTTCACATTGTGGTATTGAATCCACAACCCAAGGGCTGGAGTTGTGCACTCCTGTGTTAGAGGGTCATTCCCTGTCACGCGGGTGCATAAGTAAGTGTGTGTAGGCCGTCTTTGTGATGTGTTTAAGTACAAATTTTCACATGAGAGATGGCAGCGAGCTGATGGAAGGCGATCATCATTCAGACATAGTTGCTGCAGGTTCCTAAGCAGTGGCTTGGTGAGTCCTCACTTTAACGGCATGCACTGTAACAAAAACAGCCTGTTTAATTATAAGGGATGAAGAAAGGTTGTAAAACTGAGTTATGACTGTCGGTACAAAAACCCACAGAAATGTCCTAAGCGGACCTAAATGGGCATGAGTGGAGAGAAGTGCAAGTAAAATGCAGGATATGAGCGCTTTGACACAATATGTGTTAAATTAGTAACAAGACAAAATTGGGCTGTTAATTAACATCATTTCTGACAATGTGACTCAGAGTCCATGATCATTTCACAGCTGCCAGAAGGATGTTTATTCTTGGTTTGTTGCTGCCAAATAGAAGGTCAGCACCTGATCCTACTGGGCTTTTTTAGTGAAGGTCAGCATAGAAGACAGCATGGGAAGCACAGAAAAGCACAAGTAACAGACCCCAACCGTACTGCACCCTGGCGTTCCTCCCGTGCAGAAAAGCATCCCTGGTGCCCTCTTCTGGCCCCAAAAGTGGAGCAGCGTTGAAGCAGCAGGTGACTTTTGCCCACAAATGGTGGAATTAGTTTTGTTAACTTTTTTTCTGCAGGGTTTTAAATGGACCCCCACCCTCCAGGTCCCTGCAAAAGGATGGTGAACAAGTGAGGATTTCTTTGACCGGCATAATGACGGCCTTGTGTTGGACTAGGAGGGGCTGATGGTGCAGGACGACTAAGGGGGGAGAAAGAGAGGGAGAGAGAGAGGGAGGGAGAGAGAGACTACAGTGTAGTGAATAGAACTCATAACTGGGTTTAAGTGTGCAAGGTTGACTTCGCAAATGCAGGAACCAGCACGCTCCATACTCCATGCTGTATCTGGAATTTCTTCAACTTTCGGATGCCTTTTGGAGCCTTTTCAGTTACCAAGGATATAGATTTTCATAAGCTGCTTGAAGTCATCAGGTCTGTAAAGATCTTTTACACCTATATTTTGCATTTTGTAGAAAGGAGCTGGCTAAATTGATCTACTAAGGTGTGCATGTAATGCTGAAAGCATCCATTATTAAATGTTATAATTTGTGCCTTAATCAGCACTAGTTGTAATACAAACCATGGCATTGTGATATCCTATAGGACAGAGTTGCTTTCTAGGGAAGTGTTATCTTACTCTGCCATAATGTAAGGACTGAATTAATTCTTCAGCTATCAGGACTGCTGCTCAGCTTGACGCCATCCAGCGGTTCTTGGCAAGTGCAGCCTTGAGAAACGGGGCCATCCTCATGTTATCTGAGCTGCTGAAAGAAAAATGAAAACCTTGTGCTGAAATGCTGAGAGAAAGATGGAAAGAGAGAGATGGAGTTAAAGAATGTGGTCAAAGCCAGGCTAGTCCCTCTCCTCCCTCCTTCTGAACAGAGCAAGCCATTGAGGCAGGAGACTTTCCGTGATCAGATGCACTTTTGAGGCTCAGCGGTGAGAAAAAAACAGATTCCCTGGTTTTCTGGCCTTTGGCTATAATAATCAAGGCTTTGTTCTGTGCTGTCAAAGCAATGAGGACAGTGCTGCAATAATCTAGTCACACAGTATTTGCCCTCGACCCCATTTCTGTGGCATGCATCCATGCGCCCCACTAATTGCCTGTGCTTGAATCAAGAGCGCTTAACAAGACAAGATTTCTCCGGTTATGGCTGTGTAGGAATTTAGAAGTAAATCTGGAGCTGGAACTGGATCTGAGCAGTTAAATGCTAAAGTACACTTCAGATTCTTTCTGCTCCATCTGTCGACCATCACTTCATCAATACAGACTACACTTAATAGTCGAGCCCGAATGTGTTGGATCATGAACAGTTCCTTTTTCCCAATTTCTTCCTATTCTATCCCTCTTTCGCCCCACATTGCTCGCTAGCAGCTCAACGCAAAGTCACAGCATTTCACACACAGAGAGCCAACAGTGTTCTATTAAATCTGATACCAGATCTACAGGAAATTTTTCGAGTATATTAATTTAAAAAATCTTATCCCATTGCATTGACTGAATGATTACTAAGGGGCCTGAAGAAAGAGATTACGCTTTAACTCATATGTCCGCAGCTACAACCTAGCTTTTCCGTTCTTAAGCCCTACCACAGGTTTGCATCTTCTGCTGAACTCTATAAGGTCATGCTAGTGTGTCTTTATTGTTGTCCTAAAAACAATTAAGAAGCCAAATGTCCTGATTACTTATGAATATATATGTAATATACACTTGGCCAAAAGTATGTGGACACCCATTCTGATTATGGAATTCAAGTGATTCAGCTAGGTGCTAGGTGTATAAAAACAAGCACATAGCCACGCAATCTCCACAGACAAACACTGGCAGTAAAGTTTGGCAGAGGAGGGATAATGGTCCAGGGCTGTTCTTCAGGATTTGGGCTCAGCCACTTAGTTCCAGTGAAGGGCAGTGTTAGTGTTACAGCATATAAATACATATTAGACAATTATATGCTTCCATCTTTGTGGCAACAGATTGGGGAAGACCCTCTCCTGTTCCAACATGACTGTACTCCAGTGCACAGAGTGAGGTCCACGAACACATGGTTTGACGAGTTTGGTGTGGAGAAACTCCAGTGGCCTACACAGAGCCCTGAACACAACCCCTGTGAACACCTTTTCAAATTAATTAGAACACTAATTGTTGGCCGGGTCTTCTCATCCAACAGCCATATCTGATCTCACAGACGGTCTTTTGACTGAATGGGCACAAATTCCCCCAGACCACTGTGAACTCTTTAAAAAAAACTTTCTCTAGAACAGAGCATTTCACATCAAACCACTCTGAATATTGCAGAATTTTTGAAAAATCAGTGGAATTCCTCTTTAAGTAATCACCTCACCTGACTGGAAATGTATGTTGTTCTATTTGAATTAGGCAGTTTTGACGTATGTGTCACTGAGTATAATTACAGTGCCACAGGTCACATTATTGCTTTGTTGCTTCGACTCATTTATTATAAGGAAAAACTATGTGTTTGTGTCTGTGCTGTGTGTCTGTGTGTGTGTGTGTCTCTCAGTCTCACAACCAGCCAAAGGAGCATTAGACTGTTGGCTCCATAACAGCTGTAACATCTGCATTTCACGCTGCTGCTATCCACTCTGCTCTAGGATATACAAACACCCTTTCTCTCTGAAACATTCTCCACACACTGTTTACATAGTTTCTTAGGGACATGACTTAATAGTGACCTCCCAAAGCTTTGGATGCTCTTCTGCTCTGGGAAAAAATCGGATTTCAAATCTCCTGGAAATGAATGGGCCTTCGTAGTAATAGTACAGCATGACTGACGCTATCTTCCGTGCTAGAAAAAACAGCATAGACCAGAATGGCCTGGTCACTAGCAAAACCAGTGTATGTTGTGTTTTGGATACTGGAATGCTGGTCAACCAGCAAGACTATACCGGGTGACCAACTAAACCAGCAATAGACTGGCATAACCAGCTTGGAATTCATGCTGTTTTTTTCAGCAGGGTTACAGTTAAATATGCTGCATCAGACAAATATTCTTAACAATAACGGTTCTTAATTGGTTCTTGCTGTGTTATTCTACTGCTATTCATGAATTAATCCACAAACATGTACTTAGCTCTAAAGCTAGGTCTAAATTAGCAGAATCAAGTACTGATATTAGCATGATAACAGACACTAAAATTATTTCTACAGACACTCACACAAATGACCATTTACTCAGAATCGTGCAAAGTCAAGCACGTTCTACTTGTTTTTTAGCTGCTAGCATACATGCTAATGATGCTAACATTACAGCTTCTGAGCTAGCTAAAGTTACACTGGGTACGACATTACAAAGAGACCATTCAACACATTCTCGTGCACTTAGTGGTCATATATTGACACCTCATTACTTTATCCTCACATGGAAGAGTGTAAACATTTCCAAATAATACTGCTGAAACTGCTAGATGAGAACTCCAAAACATACAGTGCATTCTCACTACTGTTAGCTTCATTGTGGTGTGTAGTACCACATACTGTTTATCTCAGACAATTTTCGCACCTGTGTGTTTTAACAGGGACAGATCAGATTAGTCAGATAGTCAGTGACTTAGTAAGAGACAGTGAATCTTGTAGGCTCAAAAAAGGCTCTTTACACTGATTTACAAAAATCCTTCTTTAAAGAATCATCCAATGGCTCCATTGAAAGGGAACCAAAGTGGTTCTTCTGTAGCATCGCTGCATAAAATGCTTTTTGGCACCTTTATTTTTCAGACTATAAAGTTTGAATGACTCCAGCTGTTGTATCCCTTTAATGGGGATACAGTGACCCATTTAAATACCAGTGCAAATGGGTCAAACAGTGACTCCTCTTTGTAAACACTCTCACTCAAATCATATGATTTATGGTAGAAAGGTGAATTTCATCACAAAAAAGTGATCCAAAGCATAAAAAGGCGGTTCCACCAGCGAGATGGAGGAAGGAGGTCACTGACGAGATTTCCATTAGCTAAAGACGTTTCCAAAGCTGTTTCCTCTCCCTCGCTTCCACCTCCTCCTCCTTCTTCTCAGCCCTCCTTCACACATTTTTACCATCCACTGCCCGGCATTTCCCCTGTTCACTCTCTCCTACTCCTCAGACTGAGCCTGATGGATTTGCAGCTTCTTCTGTTGTCTGTTCTCCACAATGGATGAGTGTAGTGGCATTTGCTGAGAGAGGGGTGACTCGAGGACACTTGACTTTGGGGGAACAGCTCATTGTAGCTCTGCTGCCTTTCAGTGTAGCGGTGAAAAGGTGAGTGTTGACGTCTTTCTTGTTTCTGGGGAGTGAAAGGAGCTCCTTGAGGCTCTAGGCCCTGTTTTTGAAGCCCCACTTTTCTGGCAGTCAGTGGATGAATTGAAATTCCTGGCTCTGGGCTTTCCTTTGTCAGCGGTTTTTGGTTGGAGATTAGCCGGGGGATTCAAGTCCCACTTGGAACACCTGGGCAAGGCTGCCCCCCACTCCATGCCAACCAGATTTTATTGACTTGGCTTGATTTAGAGTACCTCACTGGGGCAGTCTTAGCACATCTTGGACAGGAATAAAAACAAGTGAATGGCGAATGATATAAGACATTTTTAGAACAGTCATGGCACTAGTGGCTTCATTCAGATAAGGCAGCATTATGTAATGGAGTTAGTCATGTTTCTAGTCAGTACAGGTATAATATTGTCCTAGGTCTCTTTGAACAGGAAGTCTTTTCGCAGTTGAGGCTTACGTGTAATTTTCTGTTAAATATGTTTGTTTCTGCTTTCTCTGGATACTGAAAATAACTTGTATTTGACAATTTGGGTTGAACATGGGCAGGGTCCGACTTTTGCACAGCACTGTAGATGCAAAATAGATGTACCCAATGCCTGCAAATGAAAGCTTGGAACACCTGCTCATCACTCTGTGCCAGCCAGACTTTATTGACTTGGCTTGATTAAGAGAACCTTGCAGTCTAGAACAACTTGGACAACACTTAAATAAGTGAAGGTCTATTGATTTTTTTTCTCTGATCTGATCTGTCTGTCTTGATGGTTCACACTGATGTTTAAGAGTAGCCCATATCTGTCATTAGTGTGTACTGAAGGGATCTGCACGTACAAATTTTATCATCATTAGCCGCTATTCCTATTTGCTGTTGACACACTGCACACATGTGCAGTGGAGTGTGTAAGAAAAGTGTGTAACTCAGATCTGCTCTCAATACATCACATGGCCAAATGCTATATGTAGCTGATGTAAGACAATGTAAAAATGGCTCAAATCTGATTTCAAAAAAATTCTGAAGAGATTTTTGTTTTCACACCAAGAAATCAGACCTGTGTCACATTCAAACTGGATTTCGGCCACATCAAACCTGCAACATGAATGCAGCCCTACAACCCACCTGTTATAGCATTCTCTGAAATGACAGACAGTTCTCAATATTGCAAACAGTGTAAAAGCTCTGCACTTGAAACCAATCATATGGGCTAGACAACCGACCCACACTGAAATGAGACTCTGACCAGACCATTTCAAACATGGCTCCTACTTTCCTCCATGCTTCACACAAGAACACAGCGCTCACTCATTAGATAGCAAGAGCCAACAATTTCTTCACACAGGTTGGGCAGCTCTCAGGAGCTTTTGCTGCAGAAAGCAGTGTGCGAGCATGCGTGCGTCTGCCGCCGCTGATGGTGGAGGAGGGCCAGGCCCCTTCCCCACTCCTCTGCAGGGATTATGCATGTTGAAAAGAACTCTTTGTGCCGGCAGCGTTGGAATGCCTGTCGAGCTCGGTGTCTTTGGGAAACAAACAGCCAAAGTCAACGGAACATTTGAGCAAGAGCCTGCTGGAATATACTGCTGCTGCGGACCCCCTAAACATGGGGGGTGGGCGGGTGGGGTTTTACTGGGAGATAGGGAAAGACTGACTCAGTCACTCCAAACAGCAGAATCCTGGCCAGGGATGTGTTAGTCAGGCTTGGCCTTTACCAGCCATTCACTATAAGCATATAGAAGATGCTTCAAGCTCAAGTCCAATACCCAATATCTCTGTATTCCACAAAGTCTTAAAGTGGTAATGAAATGAAATCAAATGTATACAATTTTACATTACTTGTTATCTATAAAAATGGACAAAAGTATGGCGCCAAGTATCGGCTGCTATTGTTTTTAACTATGCTAAATACTTTTGTTGGTTTTTATAGGTAACAGTAAATCATATAGGGCCAGGAAGCACCTAAGCAAGTCTATATAAAAGGAATTAACCTGACAGTCTGACTCAAGTATATTTATTTATTTAGTCATGTAGTTGGCACAATGCTAGTGGGTATGTTAGCCTAAGCTTCTATTACTTTACAACATTAGTTTTGCACTGGAGATACAACATTAGCCTTGTAGCTCTAGTGCAAAACTAAAGATGCAAACTTCTGACACCAAACATGTCTGGATTGATGAACTACATCTTGAGTGAGAATAAGATTGTGTAGATTACATTACTTTTTTCCCTATGAAAGTGCTGAGTTTATGCGTTTCACAAGGCACTGTTACAAATTTTTCTGGTCTCAGTATGTGACGTGGTGATTCTTCTGCTCATTCTTGAAGTGCTTTTGGTTAGACCAACTCATCTCTCTGCGGTTTGGATTTCATCACAGTTTAGCTAAGCCCAAACCCATCATCAGAACGGAAAGTGAACTTAAGCCTCCATTGTTTATGCATTTCAGAGCTGAGAAACAGTTCTTGGCTGTAGCTGATCTACCCAGCAGTCCCTTGTAGCAAGAGTTCTGTAGCTTTAGCATGGATGTCTGGAGCTACACATTTTAATATTAGATAGAGAATATGTCTCAAACAGTGATGTGCCTTTCTCTCAGCCCCAGAAGGGATTGCCCCAGTATGGGTTCACAGGAAACAGCCTGCTCCTCTATATCCTTACAGGAAGTCTACATATAGACACGCCAATCTCCTGTCGCTCTTTTATTCTGCCACTTGTTTTTGTTTCTTTCCTTTCCTTTGAAGGACGGCTATCTTAGTGAGCTGTGGTTTGGGCATGGTTGCTCTGCTGCAACGGCTATTGTGTCGTGACTCTGTAATGATGGGTCACATTGGAATTTTATTCCACACCAGTGGTGGGTTCACATGATGCCAGGGAATCCCTACAATCATCTATTTGAGTATTGTTGTGGATGCAAGGCTGGAATTCGGATGCACGAAAGACTTGGCAATGCAGTAAAAAATAGCTGGTGATATCTTCTGCTTCACCTGGAACTGCTGAATTGCTTTTGGACCACTGCTTTTGCAAAAAAGTGCATTTGCATGGACCAGTTAAATTGGAAACTGTTCCTGTTGACAAACTGGCAGCTGCTGTTGTTGTCCTTCTGTAAATGAACCTCTTGACTGCGGGTTAGATGAGTTATAGTGTGGGATGAAAATATGAATTCTTGTATTGTCCAGCCAATTCAGAATTATAATTCTTGCAAAAGAATAGCAAGTCCATCTTCTCCCCCATTTGGCCTTTGATTCTTGCCCAACCCACATTCTTCCATGCCCGTTCTTGTGTCTAGCCCAGTTTACAGCTTCCTTTTGTTCTCGGTGCCCTGTAAAGGAAGGTCATATACTTAACTGACATTAACAGAAACATGCCCATGGAAACCTTTGATGGTGTTCCTTTGACCTGCACTTGTCTAAGGGTCTTTGCAGGGTAGGCAGCTTCCTAGCTTCCTGGTTCTTCTCCATGCATTGAAGCGCTGTCTTCAGAAACAATGAAGCGTCAGTGAGGAATACCAGAGATTCCCTTCAGCATTATAAAACAACGCCAGGTGGCTCTTACAAGTCTAATAATCTTTTTACTGCCGGACTTAAAAGCGCTGAAGCAGAAAAGTCAGAAGGAAAACCGTGAGCAAAAAGATCACAAGGTCTGCTGCTGGAAATATTTAAGAGCTGTTTAAATATTTATTTTTTTTTGTCAGGCTCTTTATTGAAGATCACATGAATTTGCTATCTCACTTACCAAATTGGGTTTTGAATAGCGTCCAAAAACTGTTACATAATTTGAAAGCGTGCCTACACATATCTTCCTAAAGATACATTTACTGTTTTGCCCATTTTATCCTTCAGTTGTTTTTTTGTTACATACTTGTGGCGTGGTCTAAAACGGAGAATGCTGTTTAGCTAGCCACATCTTTCACTGGGTACAAGGGTGGCCATAATCACATGCTCACAGAAATGTCAAGTATTCTACTTCTGCCCCTCAATATCCTGTCTGCATGCACAATGTGGTGCATTGCACAACTGGTTTTCCACATGTGTCTCCCCTCTGAGCGCATCTTCTGAAGTCTAGTGTCTCTGAATGAGAAAAGGCCTGAGGCATTGTGCTCCCATGTGTCATCCAGCCAGCAAATGGTCAGCCAGCTGCTTGAAAAGAGTGCTTGCATGCTATTGAAGACAGCAACAATGGAGCTACAGTAGCAAAGTTTCCTTGAACTGTCTGTGCAACTGCAAGTGATTAAATGTGTAAAAAATTGCAATGTTTGCTGCCCAACAGCTTGTTTCCATCAAACTGACTTTAATGCTAAAACACTTTATGTAATGATGTCATTTCCGGCAAAAGAAACAACGTTGTTGCATAGGTTTTGGCATATTGATAAAAAAAGTTGCGTTGGATATTTTTACATCTCTAATTTGCATATACGTCATAACTTGTGTACCTTTGGCTTCTCTGACTTCCCCATAACCTACTGATAAGGACATTATTTCATTTATTTTTTATTGTATTATTGTTTTTCCATCTAAATCATCACGCAACAGATCATGTTCCTTTGCCATATAGAGCTGTCTGAGCACTTTCCATTCAGAAAGGCTGTAGCCATTTCTGGGCCTGATTACAGAGGAGGCCTACCAGTAAGTATTAAGGTTCAGAGACGACAATATAGTGAGGATGACCACTAACTAACCTCTAACTAACTTCTTTTTAGCTAGTTTCCATCCATTACCATACTCATAGAAAAATATACATTTTTGAATATTAATTATGGCACATAATTGCTTACCACACAATTAACAGGCTAACATTAGTTTTATAACACCTTACAGCATACCACTGTTAAAAAAAGGAGTCCAACATTTTATAGCACTAGGTGTGAATTGCATTGTTTGTGTCACTTTTTCACAGTACTGAAATTAGTTTTTTTTACCATGCTATACTATGTCCCTGCTCTAATGTAGGCTAATGATTCAAGCATATTAAATAATAGTACCTAACCATGAGCCATTGGCCTAGAACTGCATTAGAAGCAATATAAAGGGGCCAATAAAAATGGAAGGGGATCGGCACAACTCCCCACCATGCTATGGGCTCACTTGCCTCACCTGCACTGCTGGTAGCTACACCACTGGCCACGTGACTTCCCTAGCTTAGTGATGGCCACATCCTTTTCTACTTCTCCTGTAGTTAACCAGTAATGAGGCTGGGGTAGAGGGAGGTACAGATAACATTAGAAAGTGGTGCTCACCACCAGGTGGAGGCCTAGGATTAGACAGCTGCCAAAGGAAGATAACCTGCCAGCAAAAATCTTCTCGGCACTTTCTCTCTTTCCTCCAGCCTAACTGAAATTCCACTGATGATTAATTCTCAGTGCTGCTGGGCAGAAAACAGTAGGCTGTTATTACGCTACTCCGGCATGACTCTCTGAGAGTTTCCATATTCCATATGTTTTCACCAACTAATCGTTTTGTCTTCATTTATTGAGTATTTATTGAGCATATGGGGCATGAACTTGAGGGAAATTCCAAAACCTTCCAGAGCCAGTCTGAAGGACACTAGGCACTGTGATTCCTCTGCAGGGTTAAACCACTGCTGAATAATTTGAAGTAGGGGGATGAAGTCAAACATTAAGATTCCTAGCAGCGCAGGCACTTCTTCCCTCCAGAGACAAGTCTGCCAGGAGCTCCTGCTCTCCCTTCAGCCCACAAGGCTGCCACTCAGATCAGCTGACTGCTCTTCCCTCTTACAGTTTTCCAAAACCTACTTCTCTTGCTCCAGTGGTTCTCAGTCTCTGATCTTTGCATTTTCCTTGATCTACAACACCTGATTCAGCTTTCCTGATTCAAGTAATTACCAAGCCCTTCAAGAGCTGAGTCCATTGTGTCCAGTGAATTGCCCTCACACTGCAGGGCAATTCAAATTTGTTTTCGATCTTCTACATTGCAAATTTTAAGTGTCCAAAACCGATCTGTATATTCAGACCAGGGTGCATTTGCTCACTTAGCCACATTGGTTTTCATTGAAACGAAGCAGGTGTGGGGAATATGACTAGGGCGGTACAGGAAAAAAGTGAGCTAATCACTAATATGGATATCACTCCGTGAATTATGGTTTATGTAAGGGCAATGCTCATGCATGGTTGTGAACTATTTAGGCGCAGACCATATTTGTTGCTGTAGTGACTGAGAGCAATACATTTAGGCAAGGGATCTGGACTTGTGAGAGAAGCAATGACTGGTGGGAATGTGTGGGCCTGGGTAATCTTGATGAAGGCAGTTGGCTTGTTGGCTTTAGGATGTGGGGGTAACATTTGAGTTTTTCTGGTGGCTTGCAAGTGGGACACGCTACTGAACCTGAGTGCGCATAATTAGGGTGGGAAAACCACCATATGTTTAATTATAAATGAGCCTTGTCTGATTTTCATCCATGATTTTATGTTCTTCTCATCAAGCATTCTGACGTCAAGAAGCAGCACAAAGCAAATGACAAAAAAAACACATGAAATTCAATATAACCAGTCCAGCAATACCTGCACATTTTGGTATTTCCCTGCTCCAACCCATTTGTTTCAACTCATCAGCTAATTGAGAACTTTCAACTAAATTGGACAGCAGAGAAAACACTAAAATGTGAAGGCCAAAGGTACACCAGCAAGGTTGGGATCCACTGCCCTAATGCAATGGTCCCTACTCCTAGTCCTTGGTATGACATTCTCTGCATATTTTTGCATTTTCCTGGCTCTTGTGCAGGGCAGGGATACCATGATGGGTAACTACTGCCTCAAAGATGTTTAGAATATAGCAAACATGTCAACAGGACAGCAGTTTGGTTTCTCGTTCTCACATGTTCATCCTCAAAATGCACTGGAGGTCAGTGGAAACAGCTCTCCAGCTGTTCTTTACGACCCTACAGTTTTTAGAAAGAAAGAATGCACAATTTGCCACGCATGCTCCACATGGGAATGCAGGCATTTCTGCATTTCAGCAACTGGCTTGTTTGTGCCCTCTTTGCAAATTGTGACCTGTGGTTTGGACAGCCCATGTAGAGGTCTGTCCCAATGCCTTGCAATCAGCCAAGCTTTCAGTCCTGTCCCACTGCTAAACAACAGGTATCTCCAGCATACAAAAGAGAGACTGAGAGGAAGCCTGAAGAGCAAACACCATGCTGGAACCCTGGTTGTCTTTCACCTAGTTAGAGTTGATGATCTATGATTCTCATAGAAAAGTCAGTCAGTAGCTTTAATAAGCCAAAAGGCATATGATCATTAAAAAGACTCGGTGGGAAGATCAGATGCAGCCCGAACGGAAGAACCTACTATCTGCCTTCAGTACTCTCTCATTGTATGCACACTGATGACCTACATACAGCGGCTTCATTGTTTCCCAGTCATGATTTTGCACGTTTGCCTTGTCTAAGCATCAGCTTCCTCCAAAAGTCCTTTATGCTTTTCATCGTCCTCTTCTTCCACCCCCACCCCTTTCTTCTCCTTCTCCATCATTTTTTTGAACTGCACTCCAGCATCTGTTATCAGGGTTTTGGCTGGTGGGCAGGAATGCAGGCTCCAGCTCAGCGCAGCGTGTACAGACAGGTCTGCGGCGTGTCTAGGAGGCAGAATCTTCTCTTTACTCTATGAAAGGGACAAAGACTAACAGACAATAATACACGTAGTTGGCTGTAGAATGGTTAGGGACACTGCGGGCTGAAGGCACTTTATTCACTGGACAACTGGCCACAGGTAAAATTTATTTTTTTTTCAGATTAAGATCATTGCAAAGCGGCTTGGTACCCAAGTGCATTTTCTTAGGTAGTCCTACTTACTTAATGATGACGTGTAATATTTTTCTATCAGAAGTAGTGGCTGCAACTTATTAAAACTGAATGAATTCGAATGTATTTCAATTTATTATCTTGTTGGACTTTCCAGTTTTTTCCATTTTGCATTATCTCATTATTTGGAATATAATATTATTTTGCAGTGTGATGATTATAAGTTTTCCAACTTTAGAGATTTATGATGCGATATGACACCCTCCCATCCAGCAACCACTTCTGAAACATGAAGTGTTTTGATATTTCCTGGATCACTATCAGGGAGAGTAACTGCTGTAATTACTTAAGCTTTGTGCAATTTGAGGTTTGAGCCTCTCACATTTGATTTCACCACAGGCACTTTGCAGGGATGGGTGCTTCAAGCAGTTCTGCCACATTATAGACTTCTAGTTGTGTCTAAATATAGGTCATGGACAAATATAGCCATTTTTAAAGTGACGCTTCATTTCTTTCTGCTTTGGCTGAAGAGGAGGTCAAAGCCAGGTTGTGAGCAAGCGGGCAGGAATTCCAGGGGAGGGCAGTGTGTATGTGTGAGTGTGTCGGGTCTCAAGAGAGCACGGCTGAGAATGTGAGAATATTTCTTCAGCTCAGCTGAATGGGGAAATTCGACGCATCTGTAAATGTCTCCATTGTATGAGCCAATTCTGTTAATCGTAGCAGTGTTGCGGCTGCGTGAGAAAGCATGCTAGTGTTTTGCTCTCACTCTGACATGCTGATGCCTGTGTTAAAGTCAATAGACTGGCGAGTATGAGAGGTGGAAGTAGCACAAATATACTGATGAAGATACATGTGAAGTAAAAATGGAGTGAACAAAAATGCATGTAAATTGAGTAACAAATAGTCTTTTGATTGGATAGGATTAAAAAATGTTGATAAAAAAGGTGTTGAGTCACAGTTTAATCATAAGTCACAATGGTGGTCTTGGAAATGAGTATTCTTTGATTAAAAAAGGTGCTGAAATAATTGGATAGTGGTGTATAATCTGTATAAGTCATTTTTATTGACTCCATTTATTATATTATATATTATATTATTATATACATACATACTGATTCCATTGAGATTACTTCACGTTTCCCAGAGGAAACTTTAATTGCTCAAAGCTTGGTCTTTGAGTGCTCAGGAGACTTAATTTGATTTTTCTAAAATTCTTTGGGAGAAATAGCATTAAGAGACATAAGATACTTTATACCCAGATGAAAATGATCATAATTATTTACAGTATCAAAATAAAAAAAAACTCTCTTGGATGAGAAATGGTTGAGTTAGTACAGTTTTAGATAAATGTGTGTATAATTTGTGATGTTATTGAGATCTCTACTAAAACGTTTAATCTATATAGCACCTTTCTCATACACACTTAAAGGTAATGGTTTTCCAGGGTTCTTTAGTAAAGAAAATGGCTCTATATAGAACCTTGAAAATTTGAACCATTTTCAAAAAGGTTCTATGTACAACCATCTACAGCACATTTGTCATCAATCTGAAGAACGCTTTCACAACACCCATTAATCATGCAAAGTGTTATTGAACCATTATATTGTACCAGTTTTCAAATGGTTTTGCGCAACACATGAAGGATTTTGGGTGACTGAAGGTCTCAAAGTACACCAGCTGAGTCCTTCAGTTTCTCAGAAATGATAGGTGCTTTTCTTGGCCACATTTGAAGCCATCTTCACTGACATAACGAACGAGAAACTCCGCCTTCCTTGGCTGCATCTGTGTCTTTGAGAGGCGGCTCAATTCTGAATTTAGCCACGGATCTCACAGGAAAGGAAACATTGCTTATCAGTGTGCATGAGAACCAGCAGTTTCAGAAACAGACTAAGGCCTTATGCTTGCTGATAAAGGTAGCTGAACTGTGTGCCACACACTGTAGACAACATTCAAGAACACACTGTATTCCGTGAGTAAGTTTTGTTCAGACATAACAAAACAGTTGCAGTTCTCAAGGTTGCCCTTGTGTTCCACAGGATGCTCACGTATTAGAGGAAGTGACAGATAACGCAGCAGACATGGACCATCTGAACAGAAACCAGCATGGCCGCCAGACTCATCAGGTGCTACAGGTGAGACTGTGTCTTTTAAAGTAATGGTTTGCACACAAATCAAATGCATTCAATTTGTTCCTTAAACCAAACATAGTCAATCAGCCCTGTTTACTGTCTGAATTTTGCTTCTTCAGTTTTGCACTGGAGTTCCACGGCTAATGTAGATTACCTACCTGAATCATCACACACTTGCCTCACTGTGTCGAATATCTTAAATAAAGACTTATAATGTTGGTTTCCTGGACAAAGATTAATCCTAGTAGTGAACTACACAGCATTCTGAATGGAGACTCTCCACTGAGAGGAAAATGTGGTTCAGGACTAGGCTTAATCCCTTTGTTAAAAACTTTTCTATATGTTTTTTGACACTGTATGGCATACTGACATCTACACTGTCAGTACCAAGGTATCGTCTTGGTAAAATCTTAGTCTCCCCAAGGTACAAACAATGTAAATGCACTATCAAAGGTAAAACAAGCTCCTTAAGGTCCAACTGTGTAGCTTATATGAGTTTTAAAGGTACACTACATTTACTTTCCAGGGTGAAGCATATATATTTTCATGCTTTAGTTTTTTGAGTAGAAAAAAATTATAGAAATGACTCTATTATTATTCTATTATATAATTATTATTAGTTAACATTTGTTATTAATACTGTTATTAACTATGCAGGTTGTTCTGTTACTGTGGCAAATTAAAACCTGCTGATTAGGTCCTCGTGTGCCTTTTAAAAGAAAAAATATGTGGGACATTGACAAATAACGTTTTTAAAATTGTATAAAAACTGTAACTGACACTGCTTTCTATAAATATGCACAAAAGTATGTTACATATGCTATATGGTAAAAACAGCCAGCAGCCAGGAGCCTGAACTGTGTCCAATCTTTTCGGGCTAAGGAAAAAATTCTATGCATTTTTTACACCTATTATCCACTTGTAAATTCTTGGCCCAGTTCATGAAAAACTTGGCAAGTATTTTTTAATAAAATTTGATGAAAAAGGACATGATGTGCATTTTTATATCCACATATATGTTTGTATTTATATTTATGTGTATTTTATATCTTTAATACAGCTAGTGTTATCAAAGCTTTTAATGGCCTATTTCAGTTATTAAAACTGTCTGGTTGCATCATTTACATTGAACTGTACTGGTTGTGTCACCTGACTTTTCAGACTAATTTCAAATTAAACAGGTATCTGCCTAGATGAATTTTATATGGATGCAGTGAAAATGGTTTCACATAAAAGAGATAATGTTTCATTAATTTCATATATGTCATGTATTTATTAAAATACTAGACTTAGGACACATAATAGACTTAGGACACAAAAACACAAAAAATGCACGTCATATCAATGACCTATCTAACTAAATCTCCTTTCATATTCTAAAGTAGATGTTAACATATGGGTGGCTTGTGGCTTTAAAAGTTATCTATCCACAGCTTAAAAGAGTACAAGCCATCTTTGGATTTTGCCCGTATGTTTATCCCTTTTTTATAGATAACAGTATTTTGGAATTATTGTTCATGAGCTGTAGGAGCATTCATAATGTATAAACAAGGTCAATGCTGTAGCAAGAACATTGGTAGCTTTCACTTCAGAGGCATTCAGTGCTCCCATATCTTGACATGCTACGCTGTCACTGTGATATTTTGTTAAGCATTCATCTTTTCTTAGAGAAGGAGCATGTAAAGAATTTTTGACTTATTTTGATGTTGAAGGAGAAGAAGAACACACATAATGCATAATGAGAGTCTGTTTCAGTGGTACACTAATGTGAGAAAGAAGTCACCATTCAGTATGTAACTCAACCTCTAGCGAGAGCTGTTACACAGATAAGCACAGTGAGGAAAGAAACCACACAGCTTATGGAGTGACGTGAGGTCAGAAAACATTAACCAGATAGTGAGCCTTTATCCTGGTCTGTTTCACAGAGCTGGGGCATGTCAGTGAGGCAGTGTCTAGCTAGCAGCAGTGAGACAAGGAAGTAACAGACAGAGCGTGAAACATCGCTCTCAGAACTGGGGGCCCTTCGCTATGCACATTTTTGGGCTTCCCTAATCTAACACACCTGATACTTACCAAGACTTTCATGAACTGGGCCTAAAGTATAAAGGTGATTATTATGTGAAAACACCACATAAGCAAGTCTGTTTTAGATTACTTAATGACTCAACTCAGTGTGAGGAAAATGATGATTTGGGCACACAGTTTGCACAATGCTGATTGGTGAAGTACATTATATGTCCAAACGTACAGACACCCCTACTTATTAGTGAATTCAACTACTTTAAGGTGCACCCATCGCTGAAACAGGTGTTCAGTTGGACACATACAGCTTGTATAATCTCCAAAAAGCACTACCAACAGAATGGGATGTTCTGGAGCAGCCACATATGAGCCTAAGGTCACCATGCCCAACGCCAAGGGTATAAAGCCCCCCAACACTGGGCAATGGAACTGTGTTCTGTCCCTAACCTCATTAATGCTCTTGGCTGAATGCAACCAAACCTTCACAGCAATGTTCCAACATCCAACAGTAGAAGCTAATAAGCCAAAGGGGGGACAAACTCCCTTTTAAAACCCTTCATGTCCAAAGAGACGTTGAATGAGAAGAATATCTACAAACGTTTGGACATACAGGGCCAGTTTCCTGGACAGGGATTTTGGTTAGTCCTGGACTACAACTGATTCTGAATGGAAATTTTCCTCTTAAAGGAAACTATACTCAGTGACCAGAATGTGTACAGCAGAGGGAATTCATCACACCAGCTCATCCTTGCCATTTAATCTCAGATCTGACAAAGTGTTTCCAATGGCAGGGCTGTTATCACCCTTTACCGACACACGTCCTAACATCCCTATCACTGAAATCCTCTTAGAATCTCTTTAACTGGTAGGACTAATTCAATCTAGATAATCTCTTCTAAAGGGTCACGGGTAGCCAGATTAATCCAATGATATACCATTTATCAAAGATTAGTGTCAGCTCCGAGCTGAGAAAGAGCTGCAGGTTAAAATATATTAAATAAAAAAAATCTAATGAAAGAATAAATGACATAAACTATATGCAGCATGATTTTCAGTGCATATTCTGAAACAGTATAAGCAACACAGTGCCTTGCACTGAAGTCCCCATTACAATCCCAAGAAAAGAATGCAATGTCTTCAGGAGGATGATGTCATTACAAGATAGCAAAAAGAAAAGATTCGGCAATTCCTTCCCAGGCACTCGCAGCTCCCACCGTTACCATGACAACCACCCCTTACTTGGCTTTGAGCGTCCCAGCTTTCTATTTTTTTCCACAGCAGAAGGGAAGCTCACACACTTGGCGCAACACAGTGTGTGAGCTGCGTCCTCGGCTAAGTGTCCCTCCGTAGACCAACAATCTGGAATTTTGAAATTACATGTCATTGTAACTCATGTTTATATAGATACATTTATGTAGATGGTGCTTTATTCTGTTTGATTGTGACAGAAATTCCTCAAGCATTTACCACTGAAATCCAAAGCTGAGAACGCAATGCTGTTTACCTCAATGATGCTTCACATTCTTCCCTAAAATAACAATTGGTCCACGGTATTTCCTGTATATTGCTTGTCTGCCCCAGATCAGCAGATCAGATCAACTGATAGAAATAAAGTAGTAAAAAGTATAGTAAAACAGTTGTTGCCAAATGTAATTAAAGTGAAACAACAGAGAAGACTGTGTTGACATATTTTATTCTTGTAGAAATGATGCGCATATTTGAGTCAAGTGAATTCAATGCATTAGTTTTCTCCTAATGCATAGATTAGACCCTGACCTTGCATGCTTACTCACTCCTCAGAGCACACCGCTGGACCTGATTGAGACAGGAAAAGGGCTGAAGGTCCAGGCAGAGCGCCCCCATTTGGTCAGTCTCGGGAGTGGCCGTCTTAGCACAGCCATCACACTGCTGCCCCTGCCTGAAGGTGAGTGGAAGAGGTAGTTCTGGGTAAAAACATATCCCTAAAGACATTTCTTTTTATGTACTATTCATCTTTGTATGCCAAGTGTCTGCAAACTTTCACATTTTACACTTACCTCAGGTGTAATCTATCAGCCAAGACATGCTTGGTGTCCAAATTTTGCTTCTTTGGGTTATAACATTGCAAACAAACACTAGAAGTCAATAGACACCTAAATCGTTTCTGTGAATAAATTCTCAAAATCTCTCAATCCACTCAAACCACACCCACAGGTCTTCATTAAGGCTGCACAGACATCTGCGTGACCTTTATGAAGACCTAGATGCAGTTTGAGTGGGTTGAGAGATGTTTTAAGGATGTATTTAAGGGGAAAGGAAATTTTGGGTGACTATTGATTTCTAGTATTTATTAGCAACGTTAGCCTCATAGCTAAAGTGCTAAACTAAAGAAGTTAAAATTTGGACACCAGAAATTATTCATTCAAACAAACAGGACAAACAAAAACCCTTAAAAACTGCAGAGAAAACTGCCCAGTATTGTCCGTACCTGTATTTAGGTCACTAGAGAACACACACACACACACACACACACACACACACATGCTTAAAGCCCCTTCCCCCATTTCTGTCTCCAGATTGAAAGGCTAATTACCAAACCCTGTCATCACCCCCTTTCCTGAGCCAGAAGCAACAGGAGACCTTTAAAAAAAAAGACCTCATCCTTAATCAGCTGGGCTGCTCCCATCCCCTCCATTACCTACCTCCCCCTACATCTGCCTGACACTGCCCTGCCTTTCTTTACTGTTCCTCCTTTATCTGAGACCATCAGTCAGCGTGTCTACAGAAGACGTATGGAATGTTCTGGAACAGTTTCAGAAGCTTCCATATGAAAATCACACACGTTTTTTTTCCCCAGTTCAGGTAACGTAGAATGAAACAGTGGTTCCACTCAGACTGTGGGGTTCCACAGGTTTACGTTTATCTTGCCGACCTGACTGGAGATAAGACTGGACAGGGCCGGCTGGGGAGAGGAATGTGCTTTTCTTCTTCACGCTAGAGTCCCACTTGTTTACCCTGGCCTGGAGATTTAACGCTTGACCGCCATGCTCTCTTTCCTTTGTTGTGAAGTCTCTCAGTGAGCACTTCATGAGTCATTCTCTCTAGAGGGCAGGCCCACATTCTGCCCCTGCCTGGTCTTGAATGACATAATAGTCAATATCTTTGTGACTAAGTTAGGTGTGGAAGGAACGAGATTGTAGTGAAACTGTATCTAGTTGAAGCACGGATAGTTTGAATAAACACAGATGAACTTTGAATAAACACAGATGTACAGGAAAAAGTTCTAAAATCTCCTGGTTTCATTGTCTTTTAATCCTTGCCAGGACTGGTAGGTACCACTGGATAAGCTTAGCCTTTAGATGTTGCATTTATTGCCAGCATGGAGTAATTCAACATTAATTATTTCTCACTGGCAGCTCATTGATATAAAAAAAGGAATTCTATGGAAATTTTAGATTCTAAACTTTGATCAATACCACATATGTATTAATAAGTAAAAGAGTTGTTTCTTCAAAACAAAGCAGAAAAAAAAACCTGGTAGCATCAGTCCTGGTAGCAGGAGCCCTAACTAACAGGTGCAACTGAACATGACTAAATTGGAGAGAAAAATGGGTTAAATAAATAAATAAATGTGCAAACTGGTCAATAGAGAATGTAAATCGAGTGTAACTGAAGGGAAATTCCACATTACGTTGTTAAAATGTAAACAAAGCCACAACAAAAAGTGCTCTGTCCTTGAACTTACAGAGTTAGAACTGTTCATGGTGGTGGTTATTGGAACCAGAGACCAGACAAAACGTTTAATGCCTCTTAAAGCTCCCTCACAGTTGAATGGTGAATGCTCTTGATTAATGGTTAATCTCACACGGCTGTGGACATTATCTTTTTAGGAAAGACAACTTTGGGCCATGGAGCTATGGACATAAACATCCACGGACCTGGAGTTGCTGCCCAGCACTGCTACATTGAGAATAAGGCTGGCGTGATCACACTGCACCCCTGTGGGAACCAGTGCAGCATGGATGGACTTCCAGTCACCAAGCCTGTACGCCTGTCTCAAGGTATTTCTGACGTCTATGAATGACAAGTCATTACTGACCAGATTCGAGTTCAATGATTCACTCGCATATTCACTTTCATAATAACACACTTCCTTTCACGTAACTCACGTACTCACTCATTCACGTTTAGCAGGATGAAGATTCTCCACCAGGGGGCATTCAAGTAGCTTTTGGTGCTTCATAAGAGTGGTGCTTTGCATCAGTGAGAGACGTGTTAAAGTTTAAGAGCCCATATTCTGTAAAATTAATGTGTTTTATTTACTCACCCAAGGTCCAGTTATAACGTGATTTTATGCACCACAACTGGGCATAATTCATTTTTACCCATTACCGCTTAGAAATAAACAAGCTGTTTTTGGTACTGGGTCTTCAAAACAAATAACTTCTGCTCTGATTGGCTGCCTTGCATTGGGCTTCATTCAAAAGCAGATGCGAATCAATGACTCTTCGCGATAGTGTCTTTATTTTTGGGTTTGAGCCTCAGTGTTTGTTTATTCAGGGAATACCATCCTGCTTTTTGTTATTGATCTATGGCCAACCACAAGCTCTCTGAGGAGCCTTATGCTGTAACAACAGTTTAGCTGTGGAATATGTAAGCTCAGTACTCATGATTCTCCTGAGAGCAGGAATTGATTGCTGTGACATATCAAGCAATAAGTGACAGTGTTTGCAAAATACAACCTTGAAAGTAATTTTTAGTCTTGGACCAAGAATGGGAGATAATTTAAATGCAAATTTCACAGATTTTAAAAATTTCATGATTAAATAATTAAAATTGGAGTGGTTTGATGTGCAATGTGCTGTTCTAGAGTCAGAATTGTTCACAATCGTAGTAATAGGAAAGAAAGTTATTACATGAAATGGTTATACATATACTGCCTGATACCTGAGACAGTGGGTGTGTTTACATGCACTTTATAATTCGATCATAATCGGATTTCTGCAGTTATCTGATTATTCAAATGGTCATGTGACCATTTACACATACATTGCGACCCCTGGTTCCTATCACCACCACTGTAAAGAAATCCGAGTTGGTACATTTCTCTAAAATGAACCACTTCATATCAAACCACTGTGAATGACTTTGTTTACATCTAGTGATTGAATTATACAAATGCTGTGAAAGAAATCAGTTGAATTCCCCTTTAATAACCATTTGGCATTTCTGCTATCCATCACCTTTCCTGTATATATGAAAAATGTTCCCGATGAGAAGCTGATTAACAGACGGTTATAAGAAAATAATGCCAGAATATATTTTTCTATATAACTTGAAAGCTTGACATTAGCTCTGAAAGGAAGCGTATCTTGGCACTGCTTTGCAGCTCGGTTGTCTCGGCAGGTGTGGGGAAAGGTCATGTGCGTGTGCCTATTGTGGTAGAGGAATCACTGGATATCAAGTATCTGCAGGACACGTTACAAATCATTCCCTCAAGATTATATTTTTTAGTCCACTATGGGTTACACCCTCGGGCTAATGTTTCCATGGTAACTCATTTGGTCCAAACAAATTAACTCATTTGACCGCGCAGGTCCTTCGTCCCCCGCCAGAGTTCACAGTCAACTGACCTCATTAATTCGAAATAAGGGCAATCACGTCAGCGGTCTGGAACTCTGTCATTTTCGACTGAATGTGAACATTTCCAAACAATCACAGCTGTTCCCTCTGCGATCATCATCACCATGAAAAGACACCCAAATGTGAGACAGGAGTGTGAAATCTCTTTGCTACATTCATGAATGAGGCAGAAAATCTGGGCCTGTATTCATAAAGCTTCTCAGAGCAGGAGTGCTGATCTGCTGATCTCGGTTCTGTTTCTGTCAACAAGGTCATCACAGATGAGAAAAGAAGCTGATCCTAGATCAGCACTCGTACCCTGGAGCTTTCTGAATACAGGCCCTGACCCAACATCTTTTGTCTGCGAGAGCAATTTGACCGAACAGGTCCAGGGAGGAGGGGCGTGTTTGGAGCTAATCTTCTGTTGTATAGGCTAATGTCTGAGGGAGTGAATGTAATTTGCATAGCTAATCTCCAGCAATTAATGCTAGGGCACAGTGGATTGTCTACAGTGCTTTAAAATGAGCACTTGTGAACAGCAACACCTCCATCGTTGACACTTGATGTTACCTGAAGAACTAGTGATGAATTAACACCAAAGACAGACCCACATACTACATTTTTCTTATTTTTAATATTTCTAATTTTCTTTGTCTTTTATTTTTATGTCCATTTATGACATTTGTGTGGTTTATGTACTTAAAGCAAGCATAATTTAATTTTACATGACTGTTTATTATTTATTTTCCAACCTCTCTTCATCCCTTAGAATTAGCAACCTACTATGCCTTTAAGACTGATATGGGTCGTTCTCCATTTAGAGTGGGAATTCAGGTGGATACATTTTTGAATTCATTTTTAATTCTTTCATCTCAAAACTAAATCATCTTAAAATCTCCATCAACATCTCCAAAAAGGAGAGCTTAATTCCAAACATATTTTACAATCACTGGTGTTGTATGAATATGGTGTAACACCAGTGACTGTGACTCCAATGACATTCCGGTTAAAACTGAGGATTTTGTAAACTGGCTGACTCATTGGTGGTTGGCACTTTGTGCAACTATTTAAAATTAGTAATAAAAATGATATATGGCATTATTTTGATAACATTTTAATTACCTAACCATTAAAGCATACAACACCAGTGAAGTTATGTGCTACCCGATAAACAAAATTATTAATAAATTCATGAAATATAATGATCAAGTATGGACTCGCCTTCTCGTGCCTTGAGATGCTCTCTCTCTGATAAGAAAAGTAAGAAAAAAAGTAACATAAGAGTCCTGATAACACCAGTGACCACGATTTCTTTGACAAATGATTTCTTTAAACAAAATACATATTTTAAAATGTATTATAATGTTAATGATATAAAAAGGAAACACAAATCTGTTTTATACAAATTCCGAAGTTAAACCTCTAAACATTGTTTTATATTGAAAATGGTTTCTCAAATGTTGAAAATCAGTTATGTGACGAGCTGTTTTACATATGCAGAGCGATTATGAAACAGGATGAAAAAAGAAAAATCAGAGAATCATAAGAGGATATTATTTAATCTTAGGTCAACAGTTTAAATGTACATACTGACTTTTGTTGCCTAATATTTTAAGCATCTTTTTAAGCCCTGCCACCTTCGTGACATGGTTTCCCACTATGTAAGTATATCAGTCTTAAAGGCTCTGTTCTGAGTGCCTACCCTGTATTGTGCCACATTCAAAAAACAGTCCTGAATGAAACACTGCTTATTACTCCTTATAAGTATTAGTGGACATGCCTTCACTGCTGTAGTCTGAATAAGAGGAGGATATGTGAAGAGTTTCTATATCCATTTGTAACAGTTGTGGATACAATCCATTTTTGAAAGAAAAACAACTGAAGTATATTCGAAAACACACTTTTATTTCTCTAATAAAGGTGGTATTAATCTTAATATAGCGTTGGTATTTCTTTTATCTGTAAAGGCCACTCTCAACGATGTATATCGTAAAAAAAGAAAATTCTGGAAAGTGGTTTATAAGGCTTTTTGGAACGAAACCCTTCATATGCAAATGTGTTTGTTTTCATGACATAACAAAAACAATGAATTTAAGCGTGTGCATATGGACTGTAATGGCTTGAAGGTACCTGATACATGTTACGCTTTTTAACAGTACATTAAACTATTTTATTTAAAATAAAAGTGAGGCAAATTTGGTTTTCCATGCTGTGGGCCCTTTAAATCCAGCCAAAAACACCTGAACACTGCGAGGGTTTAGGAATCTAGCTGTGAACTCAGCTGTGTGTCAGTCAGAAGCCATAAATAAGAGCAGTATTTTAGCCTTTAGGAAACCCTGTATCTCCTACTGGTCTGCAACATTAACCTTGTGAAAAAATACCTCAGTTGAGAGAAGCTCTGACTCAGGGGTGAGACGCAACTCTCTCTCTCTCCTTCTCTCACCCCTCCTTCTCCATCCCTCTCTTCTGTGTGACGAGGAAATGAGTTGGCTCCACTGACGGAGACAGCTGTTCAGCTCCTGCCACCTATGAGGAGCAGCACCGCTAAACGAACTGCTAAGACCGCCACAGCTCAACAGGACACATTCAGCAGCAGCTTTACGAGCTAAAGCTTATTTTTGGACTGGATAACAATGTTTTTATGACAACTTCTCCGGATAAAATGCTCCTCCGGTGGAACTACTGCTATAGTTCGAGACGAGCTTCGGGCTGCTCACCTCTTTCTACTATTTCCTTTTGTTAGTCACAGAGAGCTGGAGATTATGGAGAAACGCTAAACGCCATTTCCATAACAAAGGCAGAATCACTCCGCTTCACTTCAGCAGTAATTCGCCTGTAAGAAAAAACCCACGTGGCCTCTTTTTTAAAGGCGCAGTCACCCTTTTTTCTCGGCGGAGGAGAAATGACGGTTTGGATTTAGAAGTAAGTGCAGGAGGAGATTAAAAGGCTGTTTGTATTAAAATGGGTGTTAAATGGCATTTTGTTTGGGTTACTGAGGTGACCAAAGTCTACCCATACAGAAATCTGATATATGGCAATATATGAGTTATAAACATATACATGACATACATGGATTTCCCTGAAATCCAGTTTATGTTTGTCATATACGGACATGTATGTGGCATATTTGCCAACTTGAAATTGGCCATTTTCAAATATGGGACATATGTTTCAGCCATATATCAACATATACCATCTGATATGTGTAATATATATTTAATAATATATGATAGAAAACATTCATACATGGATAGCATATATTACTAGCTTCATGTTGTATGATAAAAGCTTTAACATAACTAAACTCTAAATATATGCACATTATAAGCTATGCAGTAAAAGCATTAAACATGAAATTAATGAAATATTGTTTCCTGACACATTTAAATAATTTAATATTTAAACAGATCATATTGACAATTATAACTATACTAGGATG